CACAAAAATCGTAAATTTGTTTTTTTCTTTGAGAATAAGGTTTATTTGCTTTGATATGGGTGGATAGCTTCCTTTAGGAGTGATTTTGTTTTTTAATCCTTGAAATTATTGTTTTTTCCACTGAAAAATTATAGCTATGATTATAATTATATTCAGCAGGCTTCAGAAAGGTTGAGCACCCTACCCTTAACAAGAGTTCTATTTATTTTCTTTAAAAGGTCTTCTTTGTGAGTACTGTAATAGGTTCAAGTTTTTATACTTCTCTTTCCTTCTCAGGATCTTGTTCTACACTGTCTGTCTCTGGGAAAATCAGAAGTGGAGCAGCAATTGCTGCCTTGAAAGAAATCAGAGTTGATGAATTATCAGCTAAAAGACTGCTTTTAGACAAACTAGGATCCCATCTGTAACATACAACCATATGTTGGATATTCCAAATGTGTACAATACGTACGTTAATTATTAATTGTTTCCTTTCCCTACCCTGCTTGCCCTTTTTTGAAGAATAAAAGGTTTAATAATACAGAAAAAAAATTCTGCAAACTGAAAAGTGCCATACTTAGCAGAAAATATGATATAATCCTTATAATGCCCCAGAAGGGTTTCCTGGCCTATATGAATTTTTCACCCTCTCCCTGGAGGAAACTTTGATAAAAGCTTGTTCTTTTCTTTTGGGCGATGGTTCTGCAGAAGGTCTAGCCAGAGATTTTTATGAATGAGTAAGAAAAGTACTCTTAGAAAGGGAAGACTTGCTGACTGAATACTACTTCATTGTGTCTTCTAGAAAATCTTGCAGCAAATGCTCAGGAGTTCTTAGAACATATCAAATAAATTAGGTGTATCATCAAAGCTTGCCAAAGAGGGCAGGGGCAAACTAAGAGGAAAGAAAATCATTTTATTCTGACTTTCAACAGTTTAAACATCTGAATCTATAATCTTAAGGCTTACAGTCACTATAGGTACTCTGTTCTGCTTAGGAAAAATTTATTAACCTTGAAACCAACAACATAATCATTAGTTTGCTGATGGCCAGCATACATAGAATAAAAACACTTTATAAGCTATTTTTAAAAATGCTAGTAATTTGTTTCTTAATAAATTACTTAATTTATTCATTCAATATCCATTCTGAAAATTGAAAGATAGACTACATCTCCATAGGGCAATGTATTCAGGTACTTAAGCATTTACTTTTTCACTCTGAAACCAATGAGAATGCATTTTCATTCATTCACAGGAGTAACTTCTACATGGTTGGAAATGGAATTGACAGGTTTCAAGCTTCAGCAGAAACAGGGAGTGTTGCATTGTACTAGGCACTGAGGAAGGCATTCTCTACTTTTGAGAAGCTCAATAACAGGTAAACTATTCAGATGAGGATTACCAGGCATCATATAACTAAATATTTGCTATTCTACAAGAAAATATGTGCCAAAACCCCTGTTTTATGTGCAAAAACTGCTTTGTTATGGTTTGAGGGCAACCGAAATTTCTCTGTGGTCATTAACAGCAACATGCAGAACCTTCTCCACAAATAAAAGCCACAAAAGTGTGTTTCCTTCTTAGATTTTCTTCAATTGCTTGTATGGTGTGATTACAATTTCATAGCTGTTTGAAATCCAGTGAATAAAAATATGAACTATTTTCCTCCAAGCACAACTAAGGAGAGAGAAACAAATATTCCCCACCTCAAATAACTCCCACTCTCCAAAAGAGTACTATATAGGATTGTTAAAGTACCATCCTTACTTATACTTGCTGCCACCATGGTGAGAGACCAAGGCTGATTTCTAAGAATCAAAATATTTCAGAAAGGAAGGAATAGACAGGTTTAGTCCAGAGACTGTGTTACCCTGGTACCTATTTGGAATGACAGTATGAACTCTCCTTTCTTAGTCTCTGCCCCCAGTCTTGGCATAGAGTTGAAATGAACAGGTCCTGAAGCTTTATTGAAATCCCCAAAGAAAGTAGAGTACAGGCTAGAAGGTGTTGGTTTATTTTACTGCAATAGCAGTCCACAAAACTACCTGGGAGAAACTTGCAGCTGTATTCAAGTGCTTGATTTTGCTCATTTCATTCTTTGAATTACCAGGCTATTTTCATGCTTGTTATGTAGGATTTCATTCTCTGATAGGGCTTGTATATTTTTAGAATATTTATATTTTGGGGCTGGGGATTTAGCTCAGCGGCATAAGCGCCTGTCTTGCAAGCGCGTGGTCATGAGTTCAATCCCCAGTACCAAAAAAAAAAAAAAAAAAAAAAAAAAAAAAAAAAAAAGAGAGAGAGAGAATATTTATATTTTGAAGTTGTGTGTTTGTGTGTGGTATGTGTCTGTGTATGTGTGTGTGTAAGAGAGACAGAGAGAGGCACAGAGAGAGAGACAGAGAAATAGAGAGAGAGAGAAAAGAAGGGAAGGGAAGAGAAGAGAAGAGTTGTTTTCCCTCAAGCTTTCTTCAAGAAGGCAATGTTTGCGAATAATGCCACCCCAGCTAAGATGGCAATCTGTTTGCCTTGAATATTAACATGCAAGTCAACTGGTTGCAGATACTACTTTCTTTTTTTTTTTTTTTGTCTTTTTCTTTTCTTTTTTTTAATCAGTACCAGGGATTGAACTCACGACCACACACTTGCAAGGCAGGCGCTTATGCTGCTGAGCTAAATCCCCAGTCCCCAGATACTACTTTCTTGAGGAGAATACAACAGAAGATGGTCCAATCACCAAATCAGATATTCTCAAACACTGGAGAGCAGTTACGTAGAGCTATTGGAGCTATTGGAGAAGGGCTTGGCTCTTAGCAAGCAGAACATTTACCTACATGTTTTGCATCCTTTAAAATCGTCCAGAGCTATTGATTAATTAATCAACATGGCCATCTAAATGGATGATCAAGCTTTTTATGTCTTCTACTGATAAGTTATTCAATAATTTCTGGTACAGAGTCAAACCTCTGGGGTTCTGCTCTTTTACCAGTGCTGCCGACTGTCTCTGGTCTAGCAGAAGAGCATGTCTGGATGGGCAATACATGGAGGAATCTAACCTGATTCCCTTTGCCTTGATTCTCCATATGTGTTTGGCAACAGAAATTTTCTTGTCATGCTGGTAGGAGATGCTTGAACGCAGGGGAATGAGTTTCATTCAGGCATAGAATGGGGCAAAGGGGCAAGGGAGTGTTTGTGTCCTCAAGTTAGCCTTCAAGAAACCAAAGAGGAGATGCTGTGTAGGCCATCCTGCTAATTAAATCTCTAGGTATCAGTTTCTTGGCCAGGTTTCTGAAATCTCACCTCAAAGGGCCGCAGGTGGTTATTCCCGCGTATATCCCTCCAACCAGCTTAATCCAAATTCAGGAGACAAAAAAAAAAAAAAAAACCTCAGGTTTAAGTGACCTCCCTGGTCTTGCTGCCTGCCTTTATCTTTGTTGAGGTCTTCCCAAGGAAGGGTATCTTTAGGAAAGGGAAAGAACCAGCCCATGGTGGAAGAGTCCATTAAGAAAATTGTCTGAGTTCTATTTTATTTATTTGCAATTGCAAATCTCAGCAGTTTTTGCCTGTGAAACTTTATAATCTTCCTATGTTTCAATCTTTATAATTTCAGATATTTTGCAAACTCAAGCCTCCTTACTCAAAACTCAGGAAGCAAAATTCGATATGCTAATCACTTTATCCCCCAGTCCATCTCATTCTGCATTTTACAAGTGGGCAGTCTTCAGGAGAAATGTTCTGCATACCTACAAGCAGTAGGATACATGGTATTGTTGATGTGTTGTGTTGTTTACTTCTCTCTGTGAGTTTTCTTTCAGGAAGATAAATTGAGGGGTAGGTATGCATTATCATGATTTTCACTGTTTCGTGAAAAGAAGTTTAGAGGAAATAGAAACCCAGAGAAAAGAAGGAAGGAAGGAAAGGCAGAGAGAGAGAGAGAGAGAGAGAGAGAGACAGAGAGAGAGAGAGAGAGAGACAGAGAGACAGAGACAGAGACAGAGAGAGAGAGAGAGAGAGAGACAGAGAGAGAGAGAGAGAGAGAGAGAGAGAGAGAGAGAGAGAGAGACTGAAAAAAGCAGACAGCACTTCAAAAGTCCAAGGTAAACATGGAAAACCTTCCCCTACCCTCTCGCTTGGGCGAGTGCCTGAGGAAATTCCAGTCATTCGTTCTATTGCCCTCTAAGTGCTGTGTTTTAGAAGGCAGCGTTGTAAACTGGGAGAGATGAGGGTTCCCATTCAGGTGCTGTCAAACCCACCTGCCATTTTTGAGTCTCTAAATCAGGACTATCATAGAATTTCACCTGGTCCTGGTCTGGGGTGCCACTTGACAAACCCTTGTGATGCTGCACATTCCTGGATCACAATGTTTGCGCTAACTGCTGGGAAATCCTGTAGACAGATGGAGTGGTGGCTTCCACACACGCATGCTCTCCCTCTCCTGCCAGGGGATCCTGCCCTTCTCCTGCAGTGCGTGTAAGTGCTGCCCATCCCTTCTACTAAAGGACCTCGTGCAGCTGTGCTGGGCACCTCCCTGGAGCTTCTCCAGTTGCACCCCAGTTGAGGCGCCCCTCCTCAGTGGTAAGAAGGGGCCAAGCAGGCAGCAGCTCTGCAGCTTGGGCCTCTGTGATCAGGATTCCACTTCCCCCACTCCATCTCATCCACTGTGTACCTGGGGCCAGTCCCCAACACTTCAGATCTCTTGGGCTTCCCAAGGGCGTCTCCCAGCTTTTTTTCAGCTCTTTTACTGCACTGTAGCTTCTTTCCACGATGTGTGTATATGTGGAAGGGGCATTCCCGTGCCCCTCATTCCTAGGCCCAAATAACCTACTCTCTATTCCCACATGTTGCTTCCCTCCTCCCATCAGCTTATTCCCTTGGGTTCCCCATTTCCAAATCTTTCCGAAATCTCTTTGTCCATCATTGGCAGCCAAACAGTATGCAAGAGATACCTCGTGTTAGGGGAACTCAACAGCCAAAGGACTTTGCCTTGCTTTTTTCCCCCACCCAGAGGTTCTTTTGCTTACCTTTGATCTGGACCATGCGTCAGGTGATGGCAATGGTGAAGTCTTTAGATATCTCTCTCGAGGAACCACTGGACATTGCATTAGACGTGGTACAGTACTCGGTTTTGGATAGGACTCTGGAGACGGCTCAGGGCAGGACTCTGAGGCAGTTTCTGAGACTGGCTCTGGAGTCAGCAGTGTAGCACGTTCTGGGACCCTCTGTGTGGCAGGTTCTGCGGCCGGCTCTAGGGCCAGCACTGGAGCTGGTTCTGGCACAGCCTGTGTGGCCAGCTCTGGGGCTGGTTCTGGGGTCGGTTCTATGTCTAGTTCTGTGGCTGATTTTGAGGTCGCCTCTGGACAGCGTCCTAAAACAGGCTCTGGACAGTGCTCTGCTGCAGTTTCTGGCAAAGGCTTTGGGAGCAGTGGAGGAGCCAGAGGCGGAGTTTCCAGCGGTGGAGCAGTAGGTGGAGGCGGCTGCAGCGGCGGCGGACAGGGCAGCTGCGGTTCTGGAGACTCCGCGGGTTGCCCTCTATCCGGAGGCTGGGCAGTGGTGCCACGGTTCACGACAGCTCCTCGGTCCATAATCGCACACCGCTTCAAGTCTAAACAGCCAGCACCCTTGAGCTCCGAGGGCTAAAAAGCCCTGAGGCGCCCCGCCCTCTGCTGTCCAGCATCCCCTTGCAGGGAGCCAAACTTTCCTGTCTTGCTACAAGGTTGGCTCCACTCTGAGGTCTGAGCCCGGGAGCTCAGAGTCTCCCAGTGCTGGAACACGCCCCTCGGTGAGCGCACACCTCTTCATAAGCTGCCACAGGCCTGATGGGCGGGAAACGGAGGGACCTGTGAATGCCGACTGGGCAGAGCTCTTGACAACCTCCTAGAGACGCTAGGGAATGGTAACTGGGGCGGAGATGGACAAAACAGGGAGGGGGAGTGGAGCGGCTCTGCGGGGGGTATTGGAGCTTAGGACCTGGTAGCGTTTAACCCTTTACTGACATACATTTAAAAAAAGCAGATGCAAAGTTGAGGGTATTTACAATCCCCTAATCATTCAGCAATAGCACTATCCATGAGTGGCTTCGCTTTCACCTAAGCAGCAGGTCACTTTGGCTTCGGATAAACCTGTTGTCCTCCATCTCCAAGATTCAATGAGCTAATAAATATTTTATTTAACCTGGAAAAAAGAAATTAACCTGCATGGTGTGTGTGTGGGGGGATGGGGCACCTCCATTGGATCGAAGTAAGATTTGCCCCCTCCCACTTCTGTTTTTGCATTTCTCTGCTTTCCCAGATCCTCTATGTGGTTTTCACTTGGATATAGAGTATAGGGTACTTCTGGAAAAGAATGCTATGATGGAGATTTGGAGCGATGCCTTTCTGCAGCCTGCAGATGTAGCCCTGAGAGCAAGTGAGAGTGGTCAGGCAGGCTGCATGCTCTGGAGCTGAGGATACTTTAATCTCTGCAGCTATTCGAGCATCTGGCTGGCTGAGTTTTGCTATAGGTCTAACTGTCTTTCGCTTTTAGCTGGAGTTTCCAGGCATCAGCAGGACTTGTTTTTTTTTTTTTTTTTTTTTTTTTTAACAGAACTTATTAATGTCCATGTGGTTTTCGGTTGGGAGAAACTCACTGCAAACTCACATCATTTTCAAGTCCTGAAACACTCTGACATTAGGGAATGGGAAATTGTGGTATGAAAAAAGATTAGATCACTGCTGCAGTACCCTTCCTACTACTTCAGGAAACTTTGGGAGCCCTCTCATGGATTAGTTATGTACACATACAAACATCATTTTAGGCAGACCTAGGCTTTACACACCAGTATTTTGCTGCTTGCAACTGAAATTTGAAATTTCCCATCAAGCCACTGCTGGGTGAGGACTAAAGGAAGAACACCTATAAACCTAATTTGAAATATGGCACGCAAATTTATCTCACACACACATATTGCTTCAGGTGTGGATGGCAGCCCTCTCTTACATCTATCTCTTCCCAGAACATATCCCCCACTAGTACCTCTTCTTTTGCTAGCTGACTGACTCACCCAGAATTTTCTAGAACTTGCAGCATTTTTCCTGTTCCCTACACAACATTCCAGCAATAAATAATACCACAGAATGCAGTCTCACCTAGCCTGATCCAAAGACAGTCTCTGATGATGCCTGCATTTCCTGGATCCTTGCTGTAGGGTGTTACCTAACTTCCATGTGTTTATGGGGTTTATTGTTTAATTTCTTCCCTTATTTCATCTGTGACCCTTCAGCTGTTTAAGAAGGTGTTATTTAATTTCCATGTGTTCATGGGATTTTGCAGTTTCTTTTGACATTAATTTCTAATTTGACTGCACTATGGTCAGATAATATGCATGGGATAATTTCAATCCTTTGCATTTATTTCAGTATGTTCTGTTGGCTAGTCTGTTTTAGAGAACATTCTCTATGCAGCTGAGAAGAATAGGTATTTTGATAATGCTGGGTGGAATACTCTGAATATATCTGTTAAGTACATTTGTTCAAAGGTTTGGTTTAGTTATGGTATTTCTTTGCTGATTTTTTTCTCTAGTTGATCTCTTTGTGACAAGGGTGTCTCCTGTTACAATTATGTTATTACTTATTTGATTTTTCATATCTGTTAATAATTGTCTTATACAGTTGGGTATTTCCATATTTGCTGAGTACATATCTATGATTATTATCTCTTCCTCTTGAAGTTTTACCCTAAAAAGTACATAGTGACTTTCTCTGTCTCTTTTGATCATTCTTGGTTTGAAGTTCACATTGTCTGCAAATAGAATAGCTAGTCCTGATTTTTTTTCTGAGTTTCTGTTGCGTGAAATACTATTTTCCATCCTTTGATTTTTGGTTTATGAATTTCTTTTTGAGTTCAATATGTTTCTTGTATGTAGCACATTTTTGGATCTTGTTTCTTGATCCATTCTACAAGTCTGTTTTATTGAATTGGTGACTTGAGGCCATTTACAATGATGGTTATAACTGATATGTAGTGTCATTTTTGTCATGTTATTTTCCTGCTGTTGGTTCCTTACTTTCCCCCTGTTTAATTGCTTACTCAGCTTAGTGGTTTCTTTCTGCTGTTGTTCTTGAAATTGTGGCCATTTTTGTCCCTCTCTAGAATATCTTTTATTAGTCTTTGTAAAGGTGATTTTGTTATCATTAATTTCTTTAGCAGTTCTTTGCATTGAAAGTATCTTATTTCTCCACTAATTTTGAAATGTAGTTTTACAGGTACATCAATCTGGATTGGAAGATGTTTTCTTTCATGACTTGAAATACTTTGCTCCAGTCTTTTCTTGACTTGAAGGTTTGTGTTCAGAAATTTGCCATGTTTTTGATGGGTTTTCCTTTACAGGTGATCTGTTTCTTTTCTTTAACAGCTGTTAGCATTCTTTTCTTGTGCTGAAATTCTGGAATTTTGAATACTACATGTCTTGTTATAGTTTTATTTTGATCATGGCTGTTTGTAGTTCTATATGCTTCATTTATTTGTGCATCAATTTCTTTTTTCCATGCTTGAGAATTTTTCTACTTAATTTCTGTGAATTTTTCATTGACCCCAATCAATATTATGTCATTCGTCTTTATTTCATCTTGTAGCTGTTTGATTTAACTTCATGGTCTGATGCTGTTTTTAAGGTAACTTTCTTTTCATCATCATCGGTTGAAATTCTATCTTCAGGATCTGAAATTCTATCCTTTTCTTCAATTTGTTGCATATACTTTCAATGGAATTTTTAATCTCCTGGATTTCTTTTTGGCTCTGTTTCATGGATTTAATTTCTTTCCTTTGCTTGGTATTTTTTTGTTTCCATCATTTTTCTAAGGTTGTCTATTATTTTCAGTCTTTTTTTTTTTCAGTACTGGAGATTGAACTCATGACTGCGTTCTTGCCAGGCAGGCACTTATGCCACTAAGCTAAATCCCCAGCCCCGCTTGTTTATTATTTTATCTGAGTCTTATCTAGTATCTTTTATTTTAAGCATCATGTTTTGTAACTGAGAGATTATTTTCTCTATAGCCTTTTTTACTTGCTTTTCTTCCTTCTGTTGTTATCATTTCAGAAAGTTTCAGTGTTTAACTTTCTGTTTCATCCATTTTGTTGATTTCCAGGCTTGTTATGGGTGAACTGGGGGTGTGGGGCTCCATTTTGCTTCTGTGTCTTGTCATTTTATAGTTACTGTTTTACATCTCATTTTGCTTTCTATGCTGATGCTTGCCAATTTCTTATGATATATAGCTTTATCAGTAGTATTGAGGCTTTCCTAGGAGGTGTCTGTTCTTCAGAGTTGTCTTGTAGATGTAGGTTCTTTGTAGCTATCTCAAGAACCTGCCTTCCCGATTTGTGAAGGATACAAAATTATTATTTGGCTCAGCTCCCAATCCTTTGGCTCTGAGCTGAGGTGATGATTATGAGCCATACAATCACAGCATTATCATACAGCAAAGAAAAAAAAAACTTTTATAACATGTATGTCATCCTAGCATAGTTAGTAGTAACAACTGTTTAAAATACAGCTTAGCTACTGACAAACTATGGTAACCATTAGGCTGCTACCTCCATACATAGGAGCAAACTGTAAGGTTATATAATGCAATCAAGCTCATACTGTGCACTTGTATGCAGTAACTTTCCCCTTAGTGGAGTAATTTTACCCTTCTGTGGTAGGTGGGCTGGCAGTTAAGATTGGTAAGGGGCAGGCCAAAGTGATGAATGAGGCCAGATAAAGTAGAGTCAAGGCTGGAAGTCAAAGGATTATCACCCAAGTTTTGGGGAACTGGAAGACAAAGGAAGGAAAGAATGAAATAGAATGTGAAGGAGAGGAGTAAAAATAAAGGGCAGAGATAATGATTATTCACTTTAAAGTTTAAAGTCAGGAAGTAGCTGAGGAAAAATAGAAATAAGGCCAATAGAAAAAAATGAAAGAGAAAGGTAAGAAACTTAAACAGTGAAAAAGAGAAAGAATGAAAAAGGAAAAATAGAAAAAACATAAGGAAAAAGGAGACCAGAGAAAGAGAGGAGAGAGACAGAGAGGGAAAAATAAAAACTAAATACAAAAATAGCCACAGAACACAAAACAAAACAAGATGCCCTCCAACCAGACAGGAAAGAGATAGCCAATCATATAAACAAAGGAAAACAGAAGTAGTGAACTACCTCTGGTGTTTACAGTTCTGTGATAATGTCCATGTTTGATCCCAGAAATATGAGTGGAGTTCATCTTGTCCTCTGGATGTGGTCTGGAACCGCTCTTCTGTTGGTGGAATTCTGCAGAGTTCAACTGTTGCCTCCTCACTGCTGCTTCAGACACTTCCATGTAGCTGGTCTCTCGGATTATTCTGCTTCCAAAAGCCCATGTGTGCCTGGGGCCAGGACGTTTTCCTGGGTCTTGGGATTCCAGTTGATCCACCTGCCAAAAGAGTAGATCTTACACATGCCCTGCCATCTGAAGGCAGTAGAGGAAGCATAGAGTGTGGCTCACACTTTTCTCACAGGCCCTGTCATCCTGGGGACAATGGAGGAAGCATGGACTCTTATTTTCAGGCACATCTATCCCATGGACAATGGAGGA